CTTGCTTTCCTGAATGAACACAATGAGTGATCGGTACTGATCACTCACTGTGTTCATTCAAAACTGAAGCCTAGTAAACTGTGTTTTTTTGGTGATGGGCCTTGTCAGGTTGGCTGTATGGGGCCCCGTGGTTTCTAACAGTAGCCCTGAGTAGACTGGACAGGTTTCTAATATGTCCTGATCATTCCGTCCTCCATAAAGTGAAGCTGCCCCATCAATATCTGCCTGTGCCACTCTTCTGCCCCCCCCCCCCCCCCCCCACCGTTCTCTATGGATGTAAGCTTGCTCGGTGGATTTGCAAGTATATGGATCGCTCTGCAACTCTTCGAAGATTTGCTTCACTAAGGAGCCTGTATGTTCAACCTCACTCTGATGTCTATGGGTAGCCTTACAGGTGCCTGCCTGCAATGTGCTGAATGGCTCCTGAATTCTGTGGTATTTCTTCCACTGGAATGGAAGGGGTAACAAATGCTGGGAATATAAAGACCTTCTCATATACAGGGTTTGAATATTGGAGCCTACTTTTAAATAACTTACACTTCATTGATACTGGCTTTCATTTTTTTTTTTGCCAATGTCTAGAAATATATGGAGAGGATTTATATTCCAATATTTCTATTAAAAGGCATAAGATAACAAATATGAAAATTGAACATAGGTTATATTACAAGTAGTTGTCATCAAGAAAAAACATGGTGGAGAGGCTTTACCCTAGGTTCACACCTAAGCAGGGGCGGACTGATCCCCGGGCAATAGGGAATCATGGGGCCCCTATGTCCTTGCCCAGACTCAAAAAAAAAAGCCTATAAAAAGGTACCTGGGGCATTTCATGGGACCCCCTACTGACCCCGGGCCCTCAGGCAGTGCCGAGTGCTCGAATGGTCAGTCCGCCTCTGCACCTAAGCGTTTTGCAGAAACGCACAGCAGTCCATTTACCATGATTTCCTATAGGGCAGGTTCACATCTCGCATTTTCACCCGGTGCATTTTTTGGAAAGGGTCAGGGACTTTTTTAAACACAAAAACTAGCACTTTTGGTTCTATAGACTTCCATGGAGATGCTGCAGAAAAGCATGTGATGCGTTTTTGCTGCATTTTTTATGCATTTTAAATCCGCCTAGCAACAAGAAAAAAAATAAATAAAAAAAAGCAAAATGCATCAAAAGTGCCGCATGTGCAAAAACGCAAAATGCACAGCAGAAACGGATCAAACGCAAACTACATAGGTGTGAACCGAGCCTTAAAGCCTGCATTAGGGCCCTTCCACACTGCAAGTGTTAAATGCTCATGTAGTCTAGGGGTGCAGGGGTATGGTGTAGTAGTCCCTTACCTTAGTTATATCTTAGCCCCTTCCCACCACCATTTCTTGGCCCTTTAACAGGTTTTAAATGCCAGGAGGCAGAGGCCAGCATTCTGATCATGCGACCACCGTGATTGGCAGTCACAGCGGTCACATGACCGAAGAGCTCCCGATCGCAAGTGTGCATCGGGAGCTTTCCGGTATCCACCAGTTACTGTGCTGGGAGCAGGGGTTTATTTACCACAAGGCAAACAAGGCATTTGCCTAGGGCGGCATTTTACAGGGGGGGCAGCACCACTCCCTGGTAGAAACGACAGAAAAAGGGACACACGCAGCAAAGGGACTAGGTGGGAGAGGAGGCTGCAGGCTGGTTGACGGTGTATGCAGAGCCTGACCCTCCCCAGGAGATGTCTGGAGCGGTCAAGGTGATTGGGGGTGGCCAGTGTAAGGAGGGCGGTGGTAGTGGAAGGCTTTCTCTGTTGGGTGGGGGGTGGTGTTGGTTGGTGTCAGGCTCTCTCCGCGAGGGGGGGGGGGGGGGGGGGTCGGACGATTTTTGTGTTACCTAGGGCAGCACAAAACACAGACACACCACTGGCTGGGAGTGCGCAGCACAGTAAAGTGTTTATATAGGGATGCATATATGCAGATCCTTGGCATTAAAGCCCACCCGCCAAGCCACAAAAATCTAAACGGTGGTTAATACCCATTTAATAAAAGGTCTACCTGAAAAAATACTGTCACAAATACTATCCTTGCAAACGTGTTTAATACGTGCAGAATGTTATTTTCTGATATTTAAAGCGGAACTACACTCTCTTAAATCAACATTAACTATTCTTTTAAACTTTTTTTTATATTTCTTTAGTCACTTCCTGGTTTCTAGCCTAGGCCAATCTAATGTCATACATCCCAGGAGTATTCATGGGCAGTTTATTTCTTTCTTTCTCAGCTAAGCCTACCCTCTTGACTGCATGTCTGCGCTAAGGGCAGATGGATTCCAGGAAGCAAATGCTACATGAATCATCTGCCCTTACTCAAGGTGGCCACGGCTAGAAATGTTATCCAAAGGGATTTCTCAAAAAAATAAAGCATGGAGACATGGATGGATGGGGGAGTTTACCTCGAATATTAAAAATGAAATAAATAGTGTTTTCATTTTGAGGTGATCAGATATCTCCGCTTTAAGTTGCCCTTTGCAGGATGATTGTGACATGCATTTGGCGAATCCTGTGTGTTCCAATGTTGTAAAATCAAATGTAATTAGAGTGGGTTAACTATTACACATGTTATTGTGTGGATTTCACTGTGGAATATAACTAGGACTGGATGAAACATCTATTTCCTACCGAACATTCGATCTCAAGAGCAAATAACCAAAGAACATTCGTTTAGAAGAGAAAATATTTTGAGAACATGAATAAATCCCTAAAACTAATGAACGAATCCTGGTTATTTTACACAGACCATATGCAAATGCAGCTGAGCTGGATGGATAGATATGCTTTTTATTTAAAAATAGACCCCTTAAGCTGGCCATACACTATACAATTTTCTTGCAGCTTTCTGTCCAATTTCTGCCCAATTACCTTCAACTACAGTGGAGGAAATAAGTATTTGATCCCCTGCTGATTGTGAATGTTTGCCCACTCACAAAGAAATGATCAGTCTAAAAATCGAATGGTACATGTATTGTAACACTGAGAGACAGAATAGCAACAAAAAATTCAAAAGAAATGCATGTCTAACAAATGATGACTGATTTACATGTTCATGAGGGAAATAAGTATTTGATCCCCTATCATTCAGCAGGATTTCTGGCTACCAGGTATCTTTCATACAGGTAAAAAGCTGAGATTAGAAGCAGTCTCTTAAAGGGAGTGCTGCTAATCTCATTTTGTTACCTGTATAAAAGACACCTGTCCACAGGAGCAATCAAACAATCAGATTCCAAACTCTCCACCATGGCAAAGACCAAAGAGCTGTCCAAGGATTTCAGGGACAAGATTGTAGACCTACACAAGGCTACAAAACTATCGCCAAGCAGCTTGGTGAGAAGTGACAACAATCAGCAGAGGATTAAATACTTATTTCCTTCACTGTATGTAGTGCAGGGGCCTGCCTGATTGGGTACAATTGAAAGTGTTATCTAGGTTTGACCTCATATTATATGTTTTTTGGTAAATCTAAAGCAAAATTCTCAAGAAATTGTATAATGTATGGCCAGCTTAAGTGTTTATATAACCCTAAAGAAAAAGGATTTGGTTGGGGATGGACTGTAAACACAGCTTCAGCTGACTTACTTGAGCCTTGGTTCATACCTATGCGTGTTTCAGTGTGTTGTGCAAAAACGCACTACAATCCATTAAACATGGTTTCCTATGGGACATATTCACATCTATGCATTTTCAGCCACTGGGTTTTTTTTTTTTGGGAAAGGGTCAGGGACTTTTTTCCCGCTGCAGATTGCATTTTTGGTATAATAGACAATGGAACCACACCAAAAAAACAAGTGTTGTGTATTTTATGTGTTTTACGTTTTTTATTTTTATTTTTGGCCAATAGGAAAGCATTGAGTGCAACTTTGATGTGACACACTCTGGCACTCAAAATCCCATCAAAGTAGTGCAGGAACCTTTTTCAAAGTCGCTGCGACTTTAAGCCACATAGATTGGAAGGGGTTCAATGGGCTGTGGCTTTGATGCGAATTTGAAGTGACTTTGAGTGCCAGAGAGTGTAAACGTGGGCAGCACAGTGGGTAAATGGTTAGCACTTCTGCCTGGCAGTACTAGGGTCCTTGGTTCGAATCCCAACCATGGCACCTCCTGCCTGCAGTTTGCATGTTCTCCCTGTGCCTGCGTGGGTTTCCTCCAGGTACTCTGGTTACCTCCCACACTCCAAAGACATACTGGTAGGTTAATTGGCTCCTGTCTAAATTGTCCCTAGTATGTGTATGTATGAATGTGAGTTAGGGACCTTAGATTGTACATCCCTTGAGGGTTAGGGACTGATGTGAATGTACAATATATATATGTAATATAAATTGACAGTGCTATATAAGTACCTGAAATAAAGAAAATGTCATCACAGTTGCAGCTCATTGACGGCAATAGAACCCCTTCAAATCTACGCAGCTTAAAGTCGCAGTGACTTTCAAAAGGTTCCTGCCCTACTATTTTGCGACTTTGAGTGCCAAGGAGTATAACCTCACATCTAAGTCGTGCTCAATACTTTCCTATTGGCCAAAAAAGAAAAATGCATCAAAAACACATAAAATCGCAAAACGCACCAGAAAAAACACATCGATCACAGCACACATAGGTGTGAACCAGGTAAGTCACTGCTTTGAGTTGATTTTAAAGTATAGTGCAACATGCACCACCACAAATCTTTGGGTTTAGTGTCACCAACGAATATATAATCACAAGCCTTCTAATACAAAATCAGCTCTCTAGAGTAACAAAACAAATGCTTGTATATTAAACACCCGTCAATAGCAAGCCTGTGGCGCAAAAAAAACAGATACAAGCACAACAAGTCCCTTTTAGGAGCTGTCACACCGCGCACGCGCTGCCCTTCCTAATACTGTAAAAGTGCACGTCAACCCGCAGATATCATAATACCGGGTGCACAGCTGGAGTTTATTTGTAGGACTTCTTATGCGGTAATACAGTGCCAAGGCCGTCTTCCCATCAGCGGGTATTCTAGGAAACAGGCAGATGTCTTTTTAGAACCTCCTTCGATGCCTGTGGAATGGTGTCTGGGAATATCACTTCAAACTCAACCAGTAGATCTCCACATTGATCGGGATTTTTTGGAAAAGGGAGTCCATAGCCAATAATCCTTCTTCTCATCCCAGGCTTTATGACTTCGTTGATGTTCATGGGGATATTTCGTCCATCTAGAGTGGGCACAGTGATTGAGCATCCACAGAGAGCCTGAAAATATATAGTAGACCATTATTTATTTATTTTTTTTTTAGTACATGAATTTTTATTCATTTGTATTTATGGACAACATTATAGAATTCCACTATCCATGAAATACATTGTAACATTTGAATATATACTATATATGTAATATGAAAAAGAAAATTCCAAATTAATAAGATGTAGACTTTGAAGTGGAACTCCATGATTTTTTTAAAAGATTTTTTTTTTGCGTTCCCTCCAATAGTGCCCTCTCCACGCTCCAGCAATATCCCCAACTAAGACTGCTGATTAATGACAGGAACAAGTTTACTTAGGTGTAGCTCTACCCCCTTGAGGGCCGCTGGATTTTGCTGGGTCCCCCTAACACAGCCAGCCAGGCACCAAGCAACACGCATTTTCCACACTTGAGGCCTACATGGGGGGGGGGGAATCAAGACCAGTCACCCTGCACAAGGAGAGAAAGCAGCAGTGACCAGTCTTTATTACAGAAAGGTAAAGTCTCACAATGGATTACTGCATGGATCTGGAATAAATACATAAAGCCCACCAAGATTCAAGTAAGTATTCACAGGACAAATGTATTTAGACAATGGGGGGGATTTGCTAAAACTGGAGCACTCAGAATCTGGTGTAGCTGTGCATGGTAGCCAATCAGCTTTTAACTTCAGCTTGTTCAATTAAAGTGGTTGTAAAGGCTCAAGGGCTTTTTTACCTTCATGTATTCTATGCACGACCGTAAAAAAAGGTCTCTGTGCAGCACCCCCCCCCCAACCCCCCATAATACTCATCTGTAATTGGGGTGACTTTGGGTGGGGGGCCCATGGAACACATCCCCCTTTTGAGGGGTGGGGAGACCCCTGTGTCAGCTCCCCAGCTCCCTATTATGTGTAAGTCATCCTGTGCCTGTTAGGGGTACAGGGTGAAATGTTCTAATATTGGTGTGGGGTTGTTCATTGTTCACTGCCATGCGGCTGCATCCCATTGTTCTAGCAAACTATTATGGGATGTAATGTTTGTGTATTGGTGTGGGGGTTGTCCATTTTTCACTGCCAGGTGGTGGATCCCATTGTTCTATTGTATGTCTTGCTTGGGGGCAAACTATTATGGGATGTAATGTTTGTGTATTGGTGTGGGGGTTGTCCATTTTTCACTGCCAGGTGGTGGATCCCATTGTTCTATTGTGTGTCTTGCTTGGGGGCTAACTATTATGGGATGTAATGTTTGTGTATTGGTGTGGGGGGTGGTCATTGTTCACTGCCTGGTGGTGCATCCAATTGTTCTATTGTGTGTCTTGCTTAGGGGCAAACTATTATGGGATGTAATGTTTCCAGCAGCCCTTCCCCCTGATGGGACGGCCTGATGATGTGTTTCCTGTCTGGGTGTGTATTTCCCCGCACTGTGTATATATCTTGTATCTATATTAAAATAAAGCAGTCCATTTCCTGTCTTTCATACAAGTCTGGTATGGCCAGCGGTGGCGTCCGTGAATCTGTGTTCGGACAGGGAAGCGGGAGGCTGTCAAGGTCCTACCTTTTCCCTGAGGTTATGTTACTCCATGTGCTGGCGTCCATCTTAGATTTCTGCTGTGCATGGTGGGAATCCTTTTATGCCTTCAGGTCTCTGAGGTCCATCCCCCAGAGGGGTGTGGCTGATGACATATATGCCTGTGGTCCGCACATGCTCTTTGCACTTGTGTCTTGTGTCTTTGTGTTGCTATTACTCTGTTCTGACTCTCGTGACTCTCCTGGTATCTGATTCGGCTTGTTACTCGACTATTCTTTGTATTCTCCTTTGATCTGACCCTCTGTTGCTGAACCCGGCTCGTGACCTGTGATTCTCGTCTGCTGTCCTGTACTGTTTTGTCCTGTTGTTGTTGACCCGGCCTGTCTGACTGCTCTTTTGTCTCTACCACCCGCTACACTCCATTGGCGGCGGCCATTACCGCAGCTGAGGTGTCTCGGGGGCCGCGACCTGGTTCCTGGCTGCGTCAAGTCCATCCCCATCATCAGGGGCCCTAGTGAAGGGCAGCCTGGGACTTAGACTCCGCGCCCTGAGGGACTTCGGTCTGTGGGTGGTGGTTGTCGTCAGCCAGTGCGTTACATTGTTAGGCCTGCCTGTCCGTTCCTCGGCCCCTGCCCTGACAGAGGCTAACGGAAATACCCTAGGGCAGTTGGGGTCCAGTTCCGTTACATCATCTAAGCCCCCTCTCGATCCAGCTATGTTCACTGGAGTCTTGGTTATCCTGGGACTCCCTCTACACATTGGCTGAGACAGCAGCGGGAGCCATTGGCAGATTACAGTCAGTGAGCCAAAGAGAAGAGAGCGGGGGCCGGGTCGGGCCGCAGTTCCACATGTGAATGGACACTTAATAAATACTGCACAACAGCTGGAGAAAACTGCACCTATGTATGCCTGGGAAAATGAACGGGGAAAATGAACGCAATTGCAAATAAAGTTGAATATCTTGTTCAGAAGTTCACTCTATCTCACTGTCTGGGAAACATCAGTTAAACTTCATACCAGGTGGTCCTTAATGCCACATAAACTCCATGCTATATTCCCAAACTCCCATGATACCTCTTAATGGCTACCAGGACAAAAGAACCTTTAAATATACACTATATAGCCAAAAGTATTGGGACAAATGCCTTTACATGCACATGAACATTAATGGCATCCAGTCTTAGTCCGTAGGGTTCAATATTGAGTTGGCCTACCCTTTGCAGCTATAACAGCTTCAACTCTTCTGGGAAGGTTGTCCACAATTTTTAGGAGGGTGTCTATGGGAAGGTTTTACCATTCTTCCAGAAGCGCATTTGTGAGGTCAGGCACTGATGGCGAACGAGAAGGCCTGGCTCGCAGTCTCTGCTCTAATTCATCCCAAAAGTGTTCTATCAGGTTGAGGTCAGGACTCTGTGTAGGCCAGTCAAGTTCCTTCACCTCAAACTCACTCATCCATGTCTTTATGGACCTTGCTTTGTGTACTGGTGCGCAGTCATGTTGGAACAGGAAGGTGCCGTCCCCAAACTGTTCCCACAACGTTGGGAGCATGAAATTGTCCAAAATGTCTTGGTATGCTGTCACCTTAAGAGTTCCCTTCACTGGAACTAAGGGGCCAAGCCCAACCTCTGAAAACCCCACACCATAATCCCCCCTTCACAATAGTATACACAGTCAGGCAAGTACTGTTCTCCTGGCAACTGCCAAACCCAGACATGTCCATTGCCAGACAGAGAAGCGTGATTCATCACTCCAAAGAACACGTCTCCACTGCTCTAGAGGACAGTGTCAGAGTGCTTTACACCACTGCATCAGATGTTTTGCACTGCACTTGGTGATGTAAGTCTTGAATGCAGCTGCTCGGCCATGGAAACCCATTCCATGAAGCTCTCTACGTACTGTTGTTCTTCTAATCTGAAGGCCACATGAAGTTTGAAGGTCTTTAGCTATTGACTCTGCAGAAAGCTGGCGACTACTGTGCATTGTGCACTTCAGCGTGATCTGATCCCACTCTGTCATTTTAAGTGGCCTATTGCTTCGTGGCTGAGTTGCTGTTGTTCCCAGTTGCTTCCACTTTGTTATAATACCACTAACAGTTGACCGTGGAATATTTAGTAGCAAAGAAATTTCACGGATGGACTTATTACACAGTTGGCAACCTATCACGGTACCACGCTTGAATTCACTGAGCTCCTGAGAGTGACCCATTCTTTCACAAATGTTTGTAGAAGAAGCCTGCATGCCTAGGTACTTGATTTTATTCACCTGTGGCCATGGAGGCGATTGGAACACCTGAATCCAATGACTTGGAGGGGTGTCCCAGTTCAATTGGGAATATAGTGTATATCTGGGTTTTGGCCATAATCCAGGTAGGAAGGAGAAGGGGGAAGAAACCTTTACAGCTGTCATTTTCTAGATTTTTTTTTTTTTGGCACCTAACCCTACTCTTCCAAACCCAATCTTCAGCCAACCAGCCTTTCTCACCCTTTTTACACCAGAAGAACCCATGCAAATAACCTTTAGTTTCATTGGTAGTCAGTGTGAAATATGTCCCTTACTTGGTAGATGTCATCAAAAATTCCACTTACATTGGGAGTCAGTGGGAAGAATGCTGCCTTACAGTGGTGGTCAGAAAACTACCTTTACAGACAACAAAAAAAAGATTACTGATGTCATGCTGTAGGCTCTGGCAGGTGGAGTTGACCCCAGGACCATGCAGGCACTACCAAATGGGAGGTAAATTGACCACAGTTTAAGCAACCTCTGGAGGAACACTAAGGTTCTATGCAACCCTGGTTGAGAATGGCTTCCTTAAACTAAAGCTGGCCATACACGCCTCGATTATCAGCCAATTCCCATAGAATCATCTGAAACTAAAGCTGTGTGTGGCTTTGTCAGCACCAACTGGCTTGACGATAGTCAATTGAAAAATTGAAGAAGTCAGGTGGGAAACTGTTGGCAGAATAGTGGCAGCATCCAATAAGATGCAGCCATTGTTCGCGTATTCGAGTAGTCAAGCAGCCAGACTGCTTGAATAACCAGTAGCAGGCAGTGCAGATTCCTCCATCCATGCTGCTTAATGTGGACATTTATTGTGGGATGAACAAGAGAAATCTAGCTGTGCCTGGCTAACTTAAAGTATACGTAAGTCCTCACCTTGTAAAAAAAAAAAAAAAAAAAACGTACAGTTTACAACAGAAATGAAAGGCAAAACATTTGTGTACAGATATAAAACACATTATAAATACCTTTTTTTTCCCTTTTTTTTATAAGTGATCACACTCCCTTTGTTCTCAGCTGTAGAGAGAGAGCTGGGGGAGGAGGAACAGCAGTACACTGAAATTGCCAAATGGCTATGCAGGGCAAGATGGTATGTCAGCACAAGTCTGATCAGTGGAGGAGAGCAGATTGAGTTCCCTTTATGATTACGTCCAATGACGAAACGCGTCATAGGGAAGTGACGTCAGACGCAAACGAGGAACCGGAAGTGGAGCGGCGGCCATCTTGGAGAGGGGAATATTGACTGTCACAGGCGGTTTGGACTCTCCTGGATTGGTGATGGCAAAAAGGTTTTCCATATATGTCATGCGATAAGCAAGATTTTAACACTGTAAGCAGTACCATTAAAGCTTTTGAATTTTAGTGTGTGGCGGTATTACACTATTTTTTGTTCCATATTTGGGTATCTGGATGGCGGATATGGCGGAGACTGGTCTGAAACACTAGTGTGGATGGATCCACATGGTGCTATGAGGTTAAAGTGAAATTTGAGGATACTGGCAGAAAAAACTCATCCCATCATACAGTCTTCTTGATGATTGTTATTAAGGCAAAAGTTATTTTAAATATTGGTAAGGGTATTTACTCCTTACTTTAGTAGAATTGTACTCTGTGGTGTGTTTTTGAGCACAAAAAGAGTGATTCACTTGCATGGTTTTTCACTACACATTGTGTATTTGCACATGTGTTTGTATATTTTTATGTTTACACTTTTTTTCACTTGGGTGAAATATCACTGGATGATCTTTATGCAATTTCTATTTTATTAAGGATAATGCACTATGTGGTTCTTATGTTTTTTTGTTTTTGAGGTAAATCAAGTTGCTGCAAGAGGCTGAGGATTTGAACCATATTTTGGACACTTGGATTTATTTATTTATTTATTTTTCAAAGGGATATATGATTTTTGCAAGATTTTTTGATTTATCTTTTGGGACTTTATTTTATTCACAGATTAGAGGAAAGGTCTATTATTATAATTATTTTATCACTGAGCATATTATTGTTTAGATTGAGTTCTTAGCACAGACAGAACACTGACCACACTGTGCTGTCATGCTTAGTGTGGTCAGTTTTTAATAGAAAAGCAGAGCGACTGGCAGGAACACCAGGGATTTCACATGAAGGAAGCAATACAAATGGAACAGGATATATTTTCATACAACTACATGGTACAGCAGGCACATATCAGGAATAGGAAATGTTGGGTTTACTATATTATTTTATGCTCAAGACAGGCCCTGTCTGAACGAGTTATTGCAAGAATGGACACCATTATGCCTATGAAAATGGTCTTTACCAATGGGCTTGACACTAGGGGAGATTTACTGGAGCTCTCAGAATCTGGTGCAGCTGTGCATGGCAGCCAATCAGCTTCTAACTTCAGCTCATTCAATTATTCTTTGACAATAAAAGCTGGAAACTGATTGGTTTCTACGCAGAACTGCACCAGATTTTTGCACTCTCCAGTTTTTGTAAAATTCCCCCCACAGTGTCCCAATTCCTTACTAAATAGGGAGCTTTCGCCAAGTGCAAATCTGAGACATACAGCAAGCTCCGTAATGTTCAACCCTTGATAAGGTGCAGCTAATATGGTGTCTATTGCTATGACATCTTGCTAAATTGTTTACACAGGCATACTTATACACACCTTTCTTTGACTCTCACATGCCAACACCTATTTGCTTATTGCTTTATTGACCTCCTGCTTTGTATTGTACAACTTATCAATGAAAAAACATTTTTTATATACACTGCCTTAACAAAATTAGAACCACAGATATACGATGAATAGATTATAATATATGTACATGCACTTTCCTAGAATCAGATGATCATTTGGGACCAGGCATAAAGCTGCAGGCATGCACAAACCACAAAAACATATAAAAGAAAACCTAAATAAACAGTCACATTCCTTAGGTTCATTACCATATTAAACCCTTTATAAACTATGCTATGAATGTAAGGCCTCTGTTAGCAGTGCACTAACTGTAATGAGATCAATTCAGAGTGTGTTCATTAACTCTCCATGTTTCAGCTCACAGCATATGTCAGGATTGCCAACCATCAATGTGAAAAACATAGCTGGGGGGGGGAATTCATAAAGGTTGTCTATGACACCTTTTGGAAATGTGTTGGCCACCCTGCCAAATTTGTTGGTGCCTGCAGCCAATTCGTGTACCTGTCAAAGACAGTACATGAATGTCAGCTCATCAAACCATACTACATGGACATCCATAGATAACCCTTGTCAGGCCAGCCATCAGAAATTTTTGGGCCTCTTACACAGCTTTAGGCCTGGACCCCACAGGCCTGACCAATAACATTCCCCAGGGCTCGTCCACTGGCCATCCCACTGAGTCCTTCAGGGCATCCACTTTTATTTTAACACTCTTACAACTTAAAGTGTTACTAAACCCCGGACCCTGCATTCACTATATCTGGTCTCCCACAGTACACACAACATGGAAATGCAATTATTTTAGTAAATATAAACTGCTAAATACCTTTACTCATCAGCAGTTAGAGCAGTCTTGTGACTTCTATCAGTGTCCAGCTGAGCACTGGTTAAATCTTGTAGAAGTTTTCATTTTGCTCTGACTGTCCTATGAGGCTGCATATCCCCTGACCTTTTGGACAGTGCTGATTGGCCCTGTGATGATCACATGCCCCCTCCCAAAGAAAAAGAAAAGTCTTTAGCAATTCACACTAAACTGGGCATGTGCAGAGTGACTCCTGGAGCTCTGTACTATCAGCAGATGGATTGGGGACAGTAGAAGAAGTGGAATTTTACTCTCTCAATCAACGTCGACTATTTTTAATCCTTTTGCTGCTAGAATTAGTAAGAAGATGGGAAGGTATACTATATTTATGTACCTCTTTAAAACTTTTTTTTTTTTTTTTTTACATTTCTTCAGTTACTTACTGGTGTCCATGCCTAGGCAAATGATCTACGGGTGCACCGAAATCTTGGTGGCCTAAACGTTTCGGCTGAAAACACCCCTATCGACCGATGAAAAAATGTTCAACACCATAGCGGTAAAATCACAGCTACCTAGAAACCTCCAAACAGAGATAATAAAAAGTCTACACAGCTTTCCATCTAAGCTGCAGAAATGCACCATAGCAGAAATGATTACCGGACTTTTTTATTGCCGGCAACATTGAACAGTGTAGCATAAAATTCAACCTCCCATTAAATTCTACACCCACTACGGCAAGTGCACATGTGCCAACTTCCGATCCAACACAGAGTGAAGCAATCAGGCAAACAAGCCAAGCTCTGACTTGGTTGTACCCAAGATGATCGATCGATCACTTGAGTACATTGAGCCTGCCCATACATGGTTTCCTGCCGAACTGGCTGAGATTCAAACCATCTATGGCTGGCTCAAATGAGTCCTACATGGAACAATGATAAGAACATCTTTTTCTATTTACATTAAAACATTTTGTAATATAAAACATCAGAATGCAGCAAAAGGAAAGTCTTACCTCTCGCAGGTTGATCTGTAAAGGGCAGATAATGTTGGAACCATCCCTCTTAAAATGGGTGTGGGGTTTGTCTTTAATAACAAAGACTACGTCGGCAGGAATGGTCATTGGCATCTCATCTCCCTCCTTGGGGAATGTGATTTTGGTGCCTTCCTTCCACCCCTTTTTAATCTCAATAGTAAGGATCTTGTCCTCAGTCCTCACACTTCTTCCGTCGGGGTTCAGTCTCTTCCTGGAGATTCTCATCCTTTTAGTGCATCCGTGATAAATCTCTTCCAGAGACACCCTAAGCTCATGAATGATCGGTGGGTCCTGCTTACGCCTTATCTGGTTTCCAACCTGGTTCTTCTCTCTTGGAAAACCATTCATGCCAAAGCTGGAGAATGAGCTAAATGGATCGCCGTCCAGTTCCATGTCCTCATCATCCCGGCCCCCGCCCATTCGCCTCCCGAAAAAGATTTCAAAAGGATTTGCTCCCCCAAAAAACGCAGCAAACGTGGCATGAGGATCTCCATGGAACGTGTAGTGAAAGTTTCCTCCATGTCCATTTTGTGCATTGGGTCCTCCTTTAAGCCCTAAAAAAAAAGAAGTATGGTCATTTTTAATACAACATTAATAATAATGAGTGGTTTACAGTGCTGTCCTTTCCCACTGCTGTGCACTACAGGAATCCAATATAAAGAGACATTCAGCTAGTTGTATTTAAAATTGTTTAATTAATACATTTTCCTGCTTCTTCACCATCTAGTAACTAGCTTTCCACTGGTAAAAACAAAAAACACCCAAGCTTCAAATACTTGAAACTTCCTGAAAAAATGTGTGTACAAAGTCACAAAACCACATCAAGCAGATAATCCTATAGCAGGGGTCTACAAACTTTCCAAGCAAAGGGTCAGTTTACTGTTCTTCAGACTTTGGGGGGGTCGGACTATGGCCAGTGTGAATAGAAAATGCCCTTGGAGTAAACCATGGCGCATTGTTGGAATCAAGGTAAGGAACAGTGCTCCATCATTGGTATCAGTGGGAGAAAAAGTGCCCCATTGCTGGAGTCAATGGAAAGAATGGTGCCCAATTGTTGGTGTCAATGGGAGAAATCGTACCCTACTGTTGGTGCCAGTGGGGGGTATAGTGCCTCAAGGGCCAGATAAAGGTATGCAAAGGGCCGCATCCAACCTCTAAGCCACAGTTTGGAGACCACTATCCAATAGCAAACAAAGAGAGAGCATGTGGGCCCCTGCTATGCAAACACCAAGCACTTGAGTATTTTAAGACTGGGTTTCATTTCATTACTTCACACATTTATTTTAATGAGCTCCCTAAAGGCCTAAAACACACCAACAATGCATATATGAACTTTTTTTTAAGTTAGCACACTACAATGCATGGCAGTGTCTTGTGGTGCTCTAAAATGCACATGCATTGGCAGGGTGCGTTGGGGTGCCATAAAGAATGAATGGTAACACAGCAACCCAACGTGCAACACGGGCGTGAACCCAGTCTAAATGTTTCAGATAGACATCAGCATTTGTTTTGGCTAATAAGGTTGGCAAAAATGCTTTATAAGAGCTCCTGCACAAAGGTTTGGCCCTTACAGCGTAAAATCCTGGTGTTTTGAGACACAGGTAAAACATACTGACATCAGGCTGTCAAAATCAATACTGCCCATCGAACATGACCGGGGGATCATTTTTGCCATGGCATGCGTGTAGCTGCTTTTGCAGATTAAAGGGACAGATGAAGGGGCCGTAAAACCACAAGGGAAGTTTTAGGCAGTTTGGATCAGCTCCAGTTTTGGGGCATCAAACAAAAATTTTAATGGGAGTTCTGGGCTGTCATTCTAACCGAATAGACAGTAGTCTTTAGATAAAGTCTCAGGTGCAAGTATCTGAATGGGGAAAGTGATGGTAAAGGTATGTGGATGTATTGGAAGACCGAGTCGTAAGGGTGAGTTGGGGATCTTTTTATTTTGAGCTTCATGCTTCTGGCTGACTATGCCTGCAAGGCTGAAGACAAAATGGAACAAGTGGCTATAGCCCTAGCATTTCCTGGAATAAACACTGAGTGGGTGGCACTGATGGAAGGATTGCATTCCATAGGCATCAAGTGAGTGAGCAGAGCTTTTTCTACAGCTCCCTGTGTGCACAACTGCCATAAATCAAGGTAAATATGTAATAGATTTTTGACTTAAAGCAATCTTTTGAGCTGTTTGAAGTGCAATATAAAATAAATAGTTCCTGATTAGCTCAGCTACTGCTGTATAGCTTGTGCCAAAGTTTAGCGAGCAGGACAAGCAACAAATGGCAAAGAACAAGGAACACACTGAAAAGAAGCCATTGCGTAATATCTGGTTAGCATATTCTTTAAAGGTAATTAAAAAAAGATCTCCAGACTAATGACAAGGGCAAACAGATCAAAGCAGCATTGGGCTGTATGTCCCAATGCAAGAAAAAGGGACCCATATGTCCCTGTTTTTTTATACCAATGAGTTACATAGGTGTGTTCTGAAAAAAAAAAAATTAAAATGAGGTTTCATCATACTACAGTGCATGGTAAAGGCACTGACATAAAAAGGGCAAAAAATGCACTGCAAATTCATTGCCATGCTCAATGGCAGCCTTTCTCAACCAGGGTGCCCAGGCACCCTGGGGTGCCTTGAGGTTTCTTCAGGGGTGCCTTGGCAAAATGTCTAAAAATTGGCCAAAATTTTTATACAAGCCAGCGGGTGGAACAAGCCTGCCTTTTAGTTACATAAAGCCACAGGCAGGGGTGGACTGACTATTTGGAAACTCGGGCACTGCCCGAGGGCCCGGGGTCAGTAGGGGGCCCCATGAGATGCCCCTGGTACCTTTTTCATAGGCTTTTTCGAGTTTGGGCAAGGACACAGGGGCCCCATGATCCCCTATTGCCCAGGGGGCCCCATGAGTTGTCAGTCCGCCCCTGGCCACAGGTTTACATTCTGCACCATTACGACCTTCTAGTGTCGGTGTTCTGACAACTAATGACATCATCCGTTGATAAGGAGGATGCCAGCTGCCTGCACAGCATCCTAGTTTGACCCTCCCCTGCCTTTCTCCATCAGTGCTGGAGTCACATAGTTTTTCACATTTTAGAATTTGGTGCCCTTTTAAAATTATGGACAGTTTGGTGGCACCCTATTTTAGAATGGGGTGCCTCCAGACTTTCCATAATTTTAAAGGGTGCCTCGGGACTGTCCATAATTTTAATGGGTGCCTTGACTGAAAAAAGGTTGAGAAACACTGATCTATGGTATAAATAAACCCTTAAGCCAGCTATAGATGGTTCAAATCTCAGTTGTTTCAGCAGAGACCGATCCATCTATGTGTAAGAGAGAAAAAAGTAGGCGCCACCTGAGTGCAGTATTTGGCACATACATTTATTCAAAAACGGTTAAAAAAACACTCACAAGTTATGGGATAAAATAGAGCCCATCTGATGGTGCACAGTCTAGCCATAGACACCTAGAACCTACACACCGGGAAGTCCACACCACCAGAGACTTAAGAACTTTATGGACTATATATGCTCATTTTTTATTTCCAGTACCCCGCTTATTGCCTTATATATTTGCTAGATATTAGAGTAGAACTATGGGCAAAACTTTTTATTTATTTTGGATAGAGTAAGGGAGGGCTATAACCCCTATCAGTTTTTGTGGGGGGTTTTTTGCCATCTGTGTTCCATTGAGGAGATTTCCTATCACTTCTTCCTGTCCCATAGCCAAAACAGAAAGTGAGAGGAAATCCCTTGGGGACTTAGTTAAGGAGTGAATCTCCTTAACTAAGACACATACAGCAATAAAAACTGACAGGGGTTCTAATCCCTCTCCACTCTATCCAAGATTAAAAAAAAGTTTTGGAATGTGTAATGTGATGGACACATCATGGCATCATGTTGTCAGGGGTTCAGACTACAATGTTGCAGAGAACAGAACTGATGTGAAAACAAATTCATTTCAGATTGGAGGGACACGCTCAGTCCTCCCGCAGTGGATTGGAGAGCTACACAAGCGTGTTAGACCCACTGGAAACAGGGGTCATACTTTGCGGTGAGTGTGGTGCAAAGGAGGGAGCACGTGTGGAAGCACTGGTTGTTTTTTCCTATCACCCACAGCATATTGGCGCACATGAAATGTGTTTTTTGGACTATATTTGTTCTTGAGTCTGAAATATCTGTTTTTATGCACGGACACTTTGTCATTTTTATTGATTCGTTTTCATTGTATTATTTTACATATATTGCTTATTGTTTATTTGTATATTTGCATTTGTTAGCATCATCACTTCAGCCTATGTATGTTACCCTACGGGGGGAGGTGCACTACAGTACCACACTTAGCTTATGTTCATCTTGAAGGGGGAGGCGTTTTGCAGCCTTTATTTGTCATATACATTTCCAAAGGAGGAAGGTGGTTTGTAGGACGGAGTGATTTGATATAATACCAGTCCTTTATTTAGCTTATGTTCACTTACCCTAGGTTCACATCTGTGCGGGTGGTGCTATCACGATCGCGCGTCAGACCCCTGACCTTCTCACCAAACTCGTGACCTAAGGACTAGCCAATCTGAAACCGTGATGTCACGTGCTTAACAATACCATGCCCGGCTGCACCCTGCACAACGATTTTCCAGCTAATTGGACCACAATCGACGTACTTGCAGCCTGGGAGCGTTTGTTATTGGGTCAGGTTAATTCCGCAATTAACCCTTCACACTGCCACCACCTCCTTTTTGTACAGAGAAAGAGGAAACTCAGCAATACACTAGGATGATTGATTAATCATCGGTATACTGCTATCTCCACAGACAGGTTATACAGAGGGTTAAACACTCATAGTAGCGCTCTTCAGTGGCAGGGATTCGTAAGTCACATTAAAAGCTATAGAAACAGTTCAACAATTTGAGAAAGATTTATTAGTAAAAGGTCAAAAGGGTGCAATAGAAATATTTACAGAAAAAAGATGTAACCTATATATATATATAGAGAGAGAGAGAGAGAGAGAGAGAGAGCACAACAGCACAGCAAACAGATAACAGAAAGAAGTTTAGGTAAATAACTACTTTCTGAAAGATGCCTGAGGTTAAGCAGTTTCAAGTCTGATGAGCTTGAAAGGGATTTCTGGTCTCGCACTCAGTTTCATTGTTACAGCGAGATTCTTCTTTCTCTCTGTCTGCTAGATGTTAAAACGCAGAAGGTCCTCACTTCTCTGTCTACACACAAAACATAACAGCCTCTTTCCTACCCAAAATCAATGGGGTGTCTCTTACAACAGAATCAATTGCCTTATTTGGTAAAAGGATTGTTAGGCAGGGGCTCAGCATCATACACTGATTGCATTCCTGAGGGAGGGGGGAAATCGGAGGAGGGAGACTGATTTGGAATTTAAGAGAAATACCAAAATGCAGAAGTTTGGAGCAAAATGGAGAAACACGCCTCTCCCTGTGTGCAGGATTGTTACAGGTGCCGCTGCAGATCCACACGAAAATCCATGCAGCCGCACCACCTGCACAGAGAAATGTGGACCAGCGGGCGGGTGCCATTAATTCTAATGGCACGCCACCCGCACTGGAAAACGCAACCGTACTGGGAACCGAGGTTCCAGTGCAGGATGCGTTTTCAGAAGAAGTGCAGGGACTTCTTTCCCTGCATGTCATGGGCACAGGAGTCCATTAAAATGAATGGGCTCTCGTGCCCGTACAAAACGCGGCCCGCACAGATGTGAACTGGGGGTTAGGAAGGGGAGGTGGTTTGTAGTTTCTGTTTGACCCACTTGTTATACCAATAGGAGGAAGGTGTTCTGTAGGACGGAGGGATTCTTTAAGGGAGTCACACTTCAGCACTTATTAGTTATTTCATTTTGTCACATTTATTTGAGCAGGAAGGGGGAAGGCGTTCTGTAGTACGGAGTGGTCCTTCTATGTCAGAAAGGATTCATACTATTCACACTAAGCACCACTATCATTTCCCAGTAGGGGAGTTGCACCAATACACTATTTACTGGTAGGAGCAGTACAACATCTTTTATTTTAATATTTAAAAAAGTTTTGCCTTTAGTTATACTTTAAAACCTTTGTGCACCAGAACTTTTCTATTGATCCATCCATGGGCAGGCTGGCTGTACCTAAGTCAGTCCATCAATTGACTTTGCTACAACCAACATGTTGGATTTTGGGCATGCAATTATTGCCAGCAGCTATAGCCGCTAGTCGTAATCACTGTGTTCTCCCTGCAGGGATGGTTCTCGGCTCCCCCTTCCCCCCCACATGGAGAATACATTAGTTCTGAGGGTGGGATTCCTCCAACAACACTGACTGTGTTCATTGAAGAAGCAAGCAATTTTCTTTCCTTCCACTGGTTGCAGAAAAGGAAATTGCCTCATCTATGGCCTGCCTTAGGTGGCTGGCACTTCTACAGATCTGAAAAGCGATCCTCGCTCCTTACAAAACTAGACAAAAGTTTTTGTCTTGACATACACTTTAAGGATTTTTAGGTTCAAATGCAGATTAATTGTAACCCCACCAGCTGTACATACTCACCCTTCTGGATACGGAAGAGCATGTAACTTACTGCTCCAACACTGTCTAACAGTGCTGCTTCTTGACTGACTGTCCCATACCTCCCATTTTTTGGAGATAAGGAAGAGAGTATAGTTCCTGCTGCCTTCGAAAGGAAGCTGAAGAAGACTTCTGCTTAGTCAATTGCCCATCTGGGTTTAAAGGTCCATGACTACAAATTGTCATTCTGGGCCTAAAGGTCCACAACTAACCCGTGACAGGATTGTGAGTGAGTGTCTGGATGCAACTACAGGCCAGATCAGGAGGGCCCAAATCCAGCAGCACTTTCAGAGGTCACTGCTATACAATAATTTAGAGCTGGGGTATCCAAACTTTCTAATCAAAGGGCCAGTGTACTGCACTTCAAAGTTTAGGGTAGCCAGACTGTGGCCAGTGGGAGTAGAAAAAATGCCCTGGCATCGGTGGGATTAAACAGTGCCATAGGCTTGGTGTCAGTGGGAATAAAAAAATTACATCATTGGTGTCAGTGGGAAGAATAGTGCCCATATAATAATGCCCTGAGGTCAGTGGGAGGAATAGTGCCCCATCATTGGTGTCAATGAGAGGAATAATGCCTCATCACTGGTGTCAGTGGGAGAAATAGTTCCCCATCTTTGGTGCCAATGGGAGGAAGAGTGCCCCATTACTGGTATCAGTGGGAGGAAAAGTGCCCCATCATTGCCCCATCATTGTGTCGTGGTATCAGTGGAAGAATAGTGCCCCATATAAAGAATTGAGGTCAGTGGGAGGAATAGTGCCCCATCATTGGTGTCAATGAGAGGAATAATGCCCCATCACTGGTATCAGTGGGAGAATAGTGCCCCATCATTGGTGTCAATGGGAAGAAGAGTGCCCCATTACTGGTATCAGTGGGAGGAAAAGTGCCCCATCATTGGTGTCCGTGGGAAGAATAATGCCCTATAATTGAGGTCAGTGGGAGGAATAGTGCCCCATCATTGGTGTCAATGAGAGGAATAATGCCCCATCACTGGTGTCAGTGGGAGAAATAGTTCCCCATCTTTGGTATCATTGGGAGGAATAGTGCTCCATTGTTGGTGTCAGTGGAAGGAATAGAGTCCCAAGAGTGAGATAAAGGCATGCAAAGGGCCACATCTGACCCATGGGTCGCAGTCTGGAGACCCCTGATTTGTGTATAGATATGGAAATATTGCAGTACAACACTTTGGTAGTTACAAATACAGTTATTTAGAGAGGTCTTTACCAAAAGCAAGGGCAATTGAAGAGGAAAGAGGGACTGAAAGATTTGATACCAAAATAGGACAGTTGGAACTGATGTTGTCAAAGCATCTAGCGCTGTAACATTAGCATGGAGAAAAAAGTCCTCACCCCAGTGTAAGCTTCAAGTCAAAGTTCTATGGTCAAACTAAAGCAGCCCATAGGTGAGTCCTTTTTTTTAGTTCAACCAGCGGTTTGAACGAAAACAAATGACTCAATTCCCCACTCACATGTAAGCAGGTTGAAACTGCTTAGTGAGTTAGGATCTGGCCCATGGTGGGTTAGGAAGGGGTTAACATCTTTGCTCCCATTTTGCTGGCTTTTTGGAGCGTTAGCCGGCCCACCTGTGATATAAATTGGGGGAAGGTTGAGGTCCGAGACCCCACTTTTCCCATTTCCAGGAAAAGTCCAAGCTGTCTTCCTTCTATATCCAGAGTCCTGGGATGCCACCATCTATGAACTGTGCCATCATCTGTGGACTATGCCTTGATGAACTGTTACTTATAAGGTATGACTTTGACCATCTAATAGCTAGTTAGGGATCGTTGAAGGAATTGTTGCACTTTATCATGCTTGCACTGAAGTTGATCAGTAAAGACTATTAAACTTTGTCCTTGGGCCTGGTCTGAAGTAATTCAAAGGGTGCATAATGGGGTACACATACAATACACTAAGCAGCCAGTTGAGGTGTGGTACCTGGGTGAGGTGAGGTGTCCTCCAGTGGCAAGGGAGCCGCTATTTGGACCCCCTCCCTAGCAGTCCATCTCCCATAGCAACTAGGAGCAGACCAGCATTACAGAGGTCCTCAGCCTAACTGCGTGGTATGGGAGTGGAAGAGTTAATATAGGACACGCATGAGACCTGCGCTATGTGTCCAGCGGGATGCCATTCAGTTACTGGGAGTGAGGTAACGAAGGGACACTGGCTGGTGGAGGTGGTGTGGCTCTACCCAGAGGAACACTGGCTGGTGAAGGTGGTGTGGCTCTACCCAGAGGAACACTGGCTGGTAGAGGTGGTGTGTCTCTACCCAGAGGAACACTGACTGGTGGAGGTGGTGTGGCTCTACCCAGAGGAACACTGGCTGGTGGAGGTGGTGTGGCTCTACCCAGAGGAACACTGGCTGGTGGAGGCGGTGTGGCTCTACCCAGAGGAACACTGGCTGGTGGAGGTGGTGTGGCTCTACCCAGAGGAACACTGGCTGGTGGTGGTGGTGGTGGCTGGTGGAGGTGGTGTGGCTCTACCCAGAGGAACACTGGCTGGTGGAGGTGGTGTGGCTCTACCCAGAGGAACACAGGCTGGTGGAGGTGGTGTGGCTCTACCCAGAGAAACACTGGCTGGTGGAGGTGGTGTGACTCTACCCAGAGGAACACTGGCTGGTGGAGGTGGTGTGTCTCTACCCAGAGGAACACTGGCTGGTGGAGCTATGTGACAACTCTTTATCAGGAATACAGCTTCATTCCACATGCAGTGTTAGCTCATCTCTAAGTGAGGCTGCCTTAATGTTAGACTATGAGCATGCCTTCAGCACAGATATCCCTAATGCATGGGGTGGTAGGCCCACCCACAATATGGCATAATCAGTAAAACACAACCAGCTCTGCACACACATTGGATCTGGATGGGGAAATCCTCAATGCTGAACTTATGTTTTCTGAAGGCGGGGAGACTCCCCCTCTTCAGAATACAATGATCAGTGCTCCCGGCTATAGCCTGTGGCACTGATCAAGTGGGGAGAATCAATCAGCGTGGTTGTACAATTGTACAACCACCCTGCACATACATGGATCAAAATTTGGAGGGTCCCTCCCTGTAAACTGGCTGAATTTTGATCCAAGTATGGCTGGTTTTAAGTGGATCTAAAGCCTCAAGGTTTTGCCTTAACCACTTGCCTACCTGGCACTTTTACCCCCTTCCTGCCCAGGCCAATTTTCAGCACTCTCGCACTTTGAATGACAATTGCGCGGTCATGCAACATTGTACCCTTATAAAATTATTATCATTCTTTTCAAACAAATAGAGCTTTCTTTTGTTGGTATTTAATCACCACTGGGGGTGTTATTTTTTGCACTATAAACAAAAAAAGAGCAAAAAATTAAAAAAAAAGTGTTTCTTGGTTTTTGTTATAAAATTTTGCCAAGAGGTAATTTTTCTCCTTCACTGATGTTGGTTGATGAGGCTGCACTGATATGCAGCACTGCTAGGCAGCACTGATGGGCACAGATAGGTAGCACTAATGGGCACTGATAGGCTGCACTGATGAGGTGGCACTGATAGGCGGCACTGATGGGGGGCGCTGATTGGCAGCACTGACTGGCGACACTGCTGGGCAGCATTGATTTACTGGGTGATCTGCTGTGTCATTGAATACAGGTGATCACATGGTAACAGACTGTTTTGATTGCCCTTTTACCTCATCACATGATCAGCTGTGTCCATAGGACACAGCGCTCACAGAGATCGCCGGGTGCACGCAGCTGGGAGCGCACGAGAAGGAGCATTTTAGGAGGATGTCATGACAGTAGCCGTCATTGGGCTATAGTGAGCTTGGCAAATGGTTAATGCATTCTATGCATTAGGGTAAAAAAATCTTGTGTGTCACGGACTTCCCCCTCACTCCCACTTATATTTACCTGAGCCCATGAGGATCCAGTGCTGTGCATGAGAGCTACGGCTCTCCTGGCTCTGTCCCTCCTCAGTAAGCAGATTGTTAGCAGCGGGAGCCATTTTCTCTCACTCCTGTAAAGCAAATCCAGTGATGAGAGAGCATGGTTCAAGACAGAGCCCAGCTGTCTGTGTCAATAGACAAAGACAGGGAGGCTCGGGTGCGAGCCTGCACCAGTGCCCCCATGGAAAGCGGCTTTTCATGGGGACACAGGGCAGTGTGAAGGAGGATCGGGATGCACTGTACAAAACAACTGCACAGAGCAGGGGAGTATAATTTGT